CACATTCGGTAGTTAATGTAGGCTTCCACTTGGTGATTGTCGGCAACAACTTTTAATGGCCAAAAACATTCACTTTCATAGGCCATGCCATGGATGGATGGAGCTTAAAACAAACTATACGAATCACAAAAGTAGAGATACACACTAAAATAGCTCTTCACATTTGAGATTTCATTTATCTGCCGTAACAATTATACAACAAACAACCACGCAATCAAGCGAGCATGCTCTTACACTACATTGATCAGTTCAAAGCAACAAACGAACACAATATAATAGCAAAGACTAGAGAGAGAGAGATGTGTTGTTTCTGTACACCATATTCCATAGAAGTTGCAGCTCAAGACACTGAAACAGAATATGTCATTGTATTAATACTTGATCTCACAATCTCCACTAGTCTCCTGATAACAATTTTATATTATATGCATTCATCTAAAACATCAAATTCCCAGGCACTTTTCACAAATGTTAAAACTTTTCCTAAGCAAGCTGTTGTAAAGCCAAAACCGAAGAAGAAAACAGGACATACAAGAGACAACAATACAAAAGAGATAAAAAGAGGAGATTCTGGAGGGGGAGAAAGTTACGAACATCCAAAGCATCTTCTAAAAGAGAGAAATCCAGGAGCTTCAGGGACTGGATCCGGAAGATTCTGTTTCGTACTTGGAAGATGTTTAAAGAAGGCCTTTACGGCTCCAGCCACACCATCCTCGTCCTTCATCGCCTTTGCTAGCGTCTCTGCATTGCTCTTCACCTATTCAGTTTCATTGTAATTAAACCACATGGTCATAACTAAGGGATTTTCATAAACCAAAACTTCTTCTTTGAAGACACTGTCTTACCTTTTCATCGAGCATATAATTTATGGCATCTTCAAGCTTATGAAGTGAGAATTCATCCACTGGGATTGGTGCAGGACCTACACCTCTAGCATGCACTCGTTCTCCCCAAAAAGGTTGGTCTCCAAAGAAAGGCACGATTGTAGTTGGGCACTGTGTTCAAGGAAAAGCAAAACACTTTCATATCAACCACATAAGTCCTATCGCAATAGCTTCCACTCATATTAAACTTACCGAGGCTTTAAGACCTGCAGCAGTTGTTCCAGCACCACCATGATGAACCTGAAAGCAGAGGAGCAACAATTTCAGGCTTAAAGACAAACTAGTACTAATCCAGATAAGCAAACTGTGTGACAAAAAATTTCCAGAACCAAATAAAGCAGCAAGATAACTAAGGCAAAACTACGAGAATTTCCCGATTCTTAGACATACCACAGCCTTGCATCTCGGGAATAGCCAGTCATGTGGGACATTATCCAACAAGTAAACGAAGTCCTTTGGTTCTTTCACTATATAAAAACCACATAAAGTAAATACTATAGTAACATATACCACACATGATAGATGAAAACATTCAATAATGGAAAGGTAACACGAATTGAAGAACCTACAGTTTCCAAGGCCACCCCAGCCTTTGTTGATGATTCCTCTCTGTTTAGTTCTTTGGAGTGCTTCCACAATGATTTCTGTCATTTTCTCTGGTTCTTGAACAGGCTTTACAATCAAACAGAAAGGGAGATGCATTATTTTCAATTGCTCACAAAATCCTACAGAAATACAATTCAGTAAAAGAGACTCACGAGACTACCGAAGCCGATATATATGGGCTTGTCACCAGCTTCTAGCCATTCCACAAGCTCTGCAGGAGGTTCATAGTTGGACGCAAGATCAAGAAAGCAAAATCCCACTACATCAATTTGAGGCCCCCAGTCTAAGAAATAAAAGAGAGGTGAGTAAAGATCTAAAAGTAAAAATATCATTATGTCATCAGTAAGCTAATGAGTCATGCTACCTTTTGGCTTTGGGACGAGGTGAGGACTCCACATATATCCATGTGGGATATTAGATCCAGATCCTTGTGTTCCACTTAGATATGTAACAGGCCGTAGTTTCAATTTCTTTTTCCTAAGGTCATTCACCATATCTCTTATACCAAGCCAGATCAATGAGTCGACGATTTGATACGAAAGCTGAAATTGCATGATGTTGAAGTTGAACAAAGAAGTCGGGCTTAAAAGCAAAAAACAATCAGATGATATGTCAATAAACAAGTCTCACTCTGTATCCTGCTGGTTGTTTGACACGTGACAATGGGTGTGGAAATTCACTGGTTGGTCTGCATCATTGTTTAATAGCAAAAAGAGAGTCAATGATTCAGAACAAAAAGAGTCAGTGTTTAAAGTAACACCCATATAGCCATAATCTGTTGCCAACACAAGACTTACGTCCATGGCATGGTGAAAAACACGTGAATCGGTATCTTCAGTGCTTCTGCCACATGTGTATGTCCTGAAATGACGATTTCCAAGTTAGTCACCACTAGAAGTGAATCTAATAAGTGAGGAAACCAGTTGCTGCCAAGATTTAGGTTTGCATAGGGTTGTGTCCTCAATGGTGCACACACCCAGGTATGATAGAATAGTAGCCAGTAATTCGAAGATGCTGTACTAACCATACGCTGGGGGGTTGGCAATGATGGCATCAGCTTTAAAGGAAATCCCAGAATCTGGATCAGGTTCTTTACATGCTGGAAGTAGAGAATATATGATGTCTTTCATTTGGTTTCGTTGAATTGGGATCTCTGAAGGGCCTGATGGTAAAAAGCCCTTGTTCTTAACCATATCTGTACACAACACAGCAGGAAACGGTGAATTGCTGAAAACTTTTAAAGCTAGAATCAGTAAACCTAAAAAGATGAAGAAAGAAAGGCAATGTTTGGAAGATACTTACAACCGGCAAGCACTTTTGGATCTCCACCTAGAGGATAGAACTCCAGTCCAGCAGTCAAAACAAACTCTTTAAAATTTGCATGAGTTGCAAGTCTAACTCGATGCCCATAGTCCTACATAACCGAAACAGTCCATTACTTTCTCCGAAACAAGTAGAAGAGTTCTCAAATGAAGGAATCTGCCAACCTGAAGGCGTTTGGCTATTGCAACAAAAGGTTGAACATCACCGCGTGTTCCAACAATGAGCATAACGATTTGCATAGGAGGGATATACTGAAGGTCTATCCCATCAATAGACTCATCAGCACAAAAACCGTTTTTGGATCCTTCACGGTCAACAACAATAGGTTGGGGGATAGCATCTGCTGGAACATCAAACTCAACAGTACCATCATGTTTCACAGTAGCTATACGGTTCAGCAATTTAAGCTGCAAAATAAGATATATTAAAAGTAAAGAGTAAATATTCCCAATTGCAAGAGAGTAATATTGCCAATTATAAAAGTAGGATTCAACAGGGTTCAAAGTCAAACTGATTTCATATGTAACAGATATCTAAAAATAGAACAAGGACAAGATTAAAAAAGCAAACTAAAAATAGATGGCGTACCTTCTTGCCAGCAGAGATTTTGTCATCGAAGATCTTAGCAGCATCCTCAGCAAGAATGTGAGTAACTTTTTGCTGCCTCTCAGTCTTTGATTTTTGTAACCTAGGTTGTTTTGTTGTTGTTGCTGTTGATGACGGTTCACCCCTTTCACTGCTCGATGAACCCTCCACTGGCATTGTCCATACTCGTGAAAAGCTTTTATTCCCAGAACCTGAAAGAGCACCCAATTACAAAACTTGAAAATCACCTAATGGATCCAAATCCCAGACGAAGGAATGAATAAAAAGAGGGAGAGACTAAACCTGAAGATTCAGCAACGGTGTTATCAGCAAGAGTTTTCGGATTGGTCTCAAGTTCTTCGGAGCCAATGACGACGCCACTGGCACCACCAATAGCACCGACAGCTCCGCCTTCAATCTCCTCGATTTGAACAGAGGCTCGGCCGGAACTTGAGGAAGAAGAAGAAGAAGAAGGGGAAGAAAGCCTGGAGAGGTCAGCCGGCGAAATTTCCGGCATCGTGATTCACTCTCTATCTCACTCTCTATCTCTCTCCGCCAGCAGAAACGATCTGGATCGTCCGCTCTTTTAAATACGGACAAAATACTTCTTCTTTCTCTATCTCTCGACTCTCGAATTTGCGTATGCGTGTTTCGAATCCTACAAAGTGAAGCCAAAACAAAATTAAAACAAAACTAAAAAAAGGATACGATTCTTTTCTTGCTTTTCTTGTAATTCTTCGATTTTTTGTTTATTTTTATGTATCAAGAAAAGAAAAAAAAGTTACGATTTGTGTATGTATGTATTGGGGACGTTCGAAGGAAGTGGGTCGAAGACGCGACACAGTGGCTGGCTACGTGATGGGTTCTCTCTCCCCGGTTCAGGCGGGGGACTCCGTAATTAACCGTCGGAGTGATGTGGGGATTTTTCACTCTATTTATTTATTATCCAAAAATATTATTTCTCTCCTTCTCCAGAAATTAATACTACGAAAATATATTCTTAGAAACGCTGTCGTATTATGCCTCGACACCGAATCTTCTCTTCTGTCTGTCATTTCGTATTTTTACGTCCTTCTCGCTTTCTCCCTTTCCTGAATATCTTTATATCAGAAAATTTAAGAAAATAACTCAACTTTTATATTAAAAGGATACATTAATTTAATTAATGTTTTACCATTTTCTTCGTATGGACCTTTATGATGGGCTATTAATCGATAATTCGATATGTACTAATTGCTAACTCTTTATAATTTGATAATGAAATATCACACTCTAAACATCAGGTGCTGTGGTGTAGTGGTTATCACGTTTGCCTTACACGCAAAAGGTCTCCAGTTCGATCCTGGGCAGCACCATATTTTTTACTACTATTAATTTGGTTTTTACATTTTTAAAAGCCACCATGTTGTTGATATATATTTTGCTTCACATTTTTCATGACGATTTGTTTATGTGGACTCTGCTTGACGCAACCAAGAGGAGTGCAGCCGAGTTTGGCTGTCTTTTTTGTTCTTTTACTCTATATACATCCAATCTTGCACTAAATCTTTTCTCCCTATACAAGGCATTAATAGCTTGATCTCCCCCAAAATAGTTAATAAATATATGCAGACTGCAGTACACGTTATAGAAAGATTTGGACAAATACTAGAAAAAAGCAAACCATAATTAATTACAAGAAGCAAGAGAAGCTGATATTGCACTTGGGCTAAATTTGTGCAGAAGAAAAAACTAAAGAGAAGAAAACAAAAAGAAACCCTTCCCTTAAACTCCCCTGGGCTTTTTATATGGAATTCACCAAAGGGAGTTTTTACAGAACCGTCATCCACATAGTTTAACAAACAAGATATCATATCCCTTGGGAGTGCCCGGTAGATTATGTTATGCTACGATTTTGAAGGGTCTTTTAGGTAACGGAAAATTAAGCAGCAAAATTATCCCATATATAGCTTCCAAAATGGGAAACGAAACAGCTTAGGCTTGGTTCTGGTTACTAGCACCACCCCTTGAACGGCCACCATTACCCATCCTTCCACGCCCACGACCATATCCACCTCTAACTCCACGGTAACCACCTCGGCCTCCCTCGTAACCATCACCTCTGCCTCCTCCATACCCATCACCTCGGCCTCCTCCATACCCATCACCTCGGCCTCCGCCTCTCCCTTCATATCCACCTTGGCGTACACCATATCCTTCTTCTCTGCCTCCCCCATACCCATCACCTCTATCTCCCCCACGGCCACCTCGAAATCCGCCTCTTCTTCCCCCATACCCATCGTTTCTGCCTCCACTGTAACTGTCATTTCTGCCTCCACCGTAACCGTCGTTTCTGCCTCCCCCGTAACCGTCGTTTCTGCCTCCACCGTAACTGTTGTTTCTGCCTCCACCGTAACTGTTGTTTCTGCCCCCACTGTAACCGTCGTTTCTACCTCCACTGTAACCGTCGTTTCTACCTCCACTGTAACCGTCGTTTCTCTCCCCACCATATCCATCATCTCTCCCACCACTATACCCACCTCTGCCACCCTGATATCCAGCACCTAACACATAGAAAGTGGTGCTAATTTATTAAAATTTGCATTTCAGATAGAGTAAAGATTGTAACTAAATGAAGGGTTTACTGTCATGTGACAAACAAATTGACTAATCAATGTCGATCTAGAGTATTGTCTCATAGCACCCTTAAACCTAGTAAGTTGCTGGTTTTTGCTATTTCACAATGTTCTTACTTACCACGAGAGCCATAACTCCTTCCACCACGTCCACGGCCTCTGCCCCAGTTTGAATACCCGCCTTCAATGTCTAATCGTACCAATAACAAAGCTATGAGTCAGTTACAAACTAAAAAACCCGTAACACAAGGTTTATTATTAGTCTTAAAATCTTACATTATATCACTGAAAAATCAACATCAGATTCACAGAAACAATAGATAACCAAATGAATTCCAAGATAACGAACAAATGAGCTTCTTTAATGACATAGCAATACCTTGATAATCTTCTTGATAGTTCCCTTGGGATTTGCCTTGATAAATCCCTTGGTTGTTTTCATATCCACCTCTTCCCCTGCCTCTCCCTCTGCCACGACCTCTCCCTCGACCATACGAATCTACATTCCAATTTTTCAAAAGCTGGTGTTATGATATAAGCTTTCAACATTAACAGCTACAAGTTCTCAAGAAAGTTTAATGCATCACCTTCACCATAAGCATTGTACGGTAAGCGGGCTTGTTTTCCTTGCTGTGGCTGATATTGAGGCTTAGACTGATCTGTCTGTGCTGGAGCTTGATACCTGAACACAATTAAAAGCCTTTATTGTAAATACATATTACGAACCAAGGATACCATGTGAAGTAAGAAAATCCATAATGAAATAAGTCTGAGATGAGTCTTTCAAGCAAAATTTATTAATGTATTTGCATGAATCAAGACTTCCGCAGTTCCCAAAAAGAAAAGGATGAACAAAAGACAAACTCACCCAGGAGAGTCTTTATTCAGCTCACTCAAAGACAATGTAATTGAAATCATGGAGACATGGCGCGTCAACTCAACCCTGCATCAAATAGAATTAACTTGAAGCCACCCAAAAAGAAAAGCAAGGAACAGAGTAATGCAAGATACTCACGGTACAAGACCCTCCTCCATAGGCTCCCAGACATCAGTGATGCTCATAGAACTGATTGCAATATCTTGATGCAAACCTGGAATTTTATTCTGCAGCATGGATGATAAAATCTTAGCCACTTGGATAAAACAGAGAAGCACATTTAGATGTTATCTTCCCAAGTATTTCAAAATAAAAGCACTGACTTTTAGTATCTCAGAGATGGCCACAGTCTTGCTGATTGCCTGCCCCATAGCCTTCAACACAATGTCTTTCACACCTTTCTCCTGAAAGTTACAGAAACGGGTAATTAACACACACAAAAATTCAAAACTTTCACACATCACATAAGGAAAATGTGCAATCCATAGCCTCGAGTAGTAAAAACGGAATCAGTGTAATGGTGCATAAGCCCCAGAAAAAAACAAAATCTTTATAACCACATTTGAAGAAGAAAAAAAAACCCTTTAAGATTACACTGAAAGACAAAATCTTTATATGCACATTTGAAACCTAACCCTAGAAAAACCTTACAACAGACCAGCCGAAACACAAATTAATATGAAACATCACGCACTTGAGTGGGAGAGAGGGTACCTGAAGAAGGCTGGTGGCGTAACTGATGTAGTTTCGGATAAGGCCTTGACTGGTGATACGGATCTCATTCTCGTTAATCGGAGACTCAGGCTTCGGTTTGTCGACTCTCTTGTATCTATCCATTACACCAGAAGACGCAGAAGAACGAAACCACTAGGTTTTAGAGAGAAGGACACTCTGGAGAAGAAGAAATGAGAGAGGGGTTTTGTAATTTGGATACAGAGATAGAGAGGGAGAGAAACCCTTAGTATAAAGTATAAACCCTAGGAAGAGAACTTGTGAGTTTCAAGAGGAAGAAGAGCGAAGAGCATAGGGAAAGGCCGAGATTGTAATGCGAAGGGACGGACACCAAAGAGCCTTGAGCTTTTCTTTTTTCTTTTTTTGACTTGGCCCAAAACGGTATTTTTTGTAATATGAAAACAAACAAACCGCTTCAAAACGGGTCAGTTTTTTTCGGATCCGGATCCTATTTTCGGGGATATCAGTGTGTCTTTTACGCGCGTAAGTTCCCCGTGGCTAGCACGAACGGTCAGATATCCATAGATTCTCCATTTTAAACGCCGCGGATCGCTAATAACAAGATTTTATTTTCAAAACTTGGATTTGTTTGGTATGGAATGACAAAATTTCAAAACTTGGATTTTAACGTTTGGCATGTTCCGGATTAGGACTAGTATTACGGTGCAAATGTCTGGTTACTTCATATAGTAAAGGTCTTAAAGTTTTGGGATCGTGAGTAAACCACTTCAATCTCAATATTTAAAAGGTGGGAGCGAACAACATTTAGAAGTGTATAATACGATTTAGCGCTTGAAGCCGAAACACAAATAACAATGTCAAGTGTCAACAATACTAAAAATGTTAACAAAAGTGATGTTTAAACAGAATTACAGAATTCGCAGTGTCAAACCAACTTAACCTATCTAAAAAAGAAGTAGTGATGCCGTGGTAACTGATGTGAAGTGAGCTGTTTGGTCATGAGACCAGCAAAAAGACTGTTGTGTCTTTAAGTGAAGAAGAGTCATGAGAAGACGTGACTGTTGACATTCAGGGACAACACATGAAATTTAATCTGTTTGGTAAGCTCATGGTGTTTAAGCATGTAGGAATGCTTGTAATGTGAAAATATTACCCTGAGTTTCATTACCTGAACTGGAGAGAGAGCGAGAGAGATGACGTTGTACAAACAGAAGCTCCGACCAGAGATCGGAATAGTGAGAATATGCCTGTGAGTGAACGGAGGGGAGACTATCATCTCCAGCCAAAAAGAGCAAACAGTTCTCTCTTTTACTACGGAGGGTGTTTTATGTGAAAGACAGAGAACACTTACCTACTACTACTAGTTAATTGTAGAAATCAAAATTGCTTCAGTGGTACTACTAATAGTTCATGAAGCACACAATATATATCAAAAGTTTTAACCGACCAAATCATAAACGCATACTACAGCAGTAAAAAAAAAACGATGTTGCCGATCACTCATTCTTCAGGCAAAAGTCCATCCATCGGAATTTTAGCATCGATCTGGAAATCTTTCTTATAATCCACTTTGAAATCATAATCTCCCTCCATCAGGTCCTCATCACCTCCTGCTTTCTTTGCTTTCTTCCTCATCTTCTTCTCTGCTTTCTGCTTTTTTGTATTCAACATGCTTTCCTCCGAGTATAGCTTAACGTTCTGCCTCCCCCTCTCTGATTTCTCCTTAGCCTTTCCTGCCTTTTCCTCCTCCTCCCCTCCCATAGACTCATCACCACTGTCATGGTCAGCCTCTTCCTCTGTCTGAGTCTTAGTAGTCTCATCCTGTGTATTTTTTGTTGGTGATACATAAAACCAAGATTAAACCAGACCGAATCATTTACAAGCAAATGGAATCACGAGACAATTTTACCAACCTCGATCATAGTTTCATCAAAATTGAGAGGACCATTTGAAGGAACCTCAACTGGGTTGAACTCGTTAACTGTCTTCAAGCTCCCAATGAAAGAGGATTCACCACTGTAAACCTCATCTATATTGAATTCCTTGGCCAGCTCGGTCACAATCTTTGACTCTGCGTGTCCACCTTGGTCCCTCTTTGGGGGCATTGTATAGTATGGGATTTTACCTGAACAACCATTCGTATTAGAAACATTGATGAGTTAGAAACTGGTTTTAAATACTCTTCATGTTACTAGTATATGAAACACTAAAAGACGTATCCACACCTTCATTCCAGTCATGCAAAACAATTCTTGCAGCAGCTTCAATATCCACAAGACCACCCTTTTTAAGCTTACCCCTTACCGTGGCGACTTTATAAAGAAAATCATCAACTGCCTCGAAGCTTGGGATTTTATACAGAGTTACCAGCATTTGTGTTGGACAAAGCTTGAGAATTTCCTTAACTAAATTTTCCACAAAGGAGAAGATTTCCAGGTTAGGTACTGAGGTTCTAACCTTTAAAAGCAAAAACAAAGAGATGCCTGATTCTATCTATAGAATATTTCAAATTACCTGGACTAACTGGATCATCCAACTTCTCGATTCTTTTACAATTGCGGAGAGCTATAGAAGCATCATTTCCTGATGATTTGAGCATCACAACTCCAGGACAATCCAACAACTTCACGTTTTTATCCAAGTGAACCTCTTGCAGAGACCTAGTCAGTCCTGGTGTGGCACCAACATTGACAACGTGAGCTCTCTTCAAACTGTTAATAAGACTACTCTTCCCGACATTAGGCAATCCAATAATACCAACTGTAATAGATTTTTTTAACTGCCAAAGAACATCAAAGGAAGATTTAATTAAAACTGGATAATATAACTTCATGCTAAGGCAGGGTGACTAAAATGTGAATAATGAAAAACCAACCTCATGACTTCTTGAGTAGTTTTTCAACAACTTGATAAGAGTATCTGCTCCAAGACAATCACTAGTCTGCAACATATTGCTTGGTTTTGATGCCTTAGATGATTTCCAACCCAAGTTTGATCTCTGTTCCTGGGTACTACATTTGAATGCAACAGCAGGAAATTCTTCCCTAAGGTACTTAAGCCATTTCTCAGCCGCCTCACGGGGAACAAGATCTAGACAAAAAGATTCAGTTACAAAAAGTATTGGCAACACCCAGAGGAAACAATCAACTTTTTATGTTCAAGAACAAACTCTTATCGAGGAACTTACCAATCTTGTTCAACAGCAACACAAGATGCTTATTGGGACCAGCTTGCATAACCATCCTCTCCATGTCAGTACACCTAGTGCCAAGGGGATCACGGGCATCAAGAACCTCCAAAATGACATCAGACAGTTCAATGACTTTAACAAGCTCCTTGTAGAAAGCCCTCTCCGAGTTATCTGTAAAATAATAGACATTAGTGAAGGCAAAGAATCAAAGATACCACATAAGCGTGTGGAGAATATATCGAAATCAAAGCACCACACTCACCTCGAACATTGACAACTCTAGTTGGGTCCTCTCTGGTCTCTTCTTCTGTCTTGGTATCCTCATCCTCATCATCACCAAGCTTCCTTTTTTTGGCCTAAATAGATATTATTAAGAGAGATCAGAACACAAACCACAACTGATAATACGAAAGAATATCAAAAAGCAGGACATGGAAAATGTTACTTTGATCAATCAATTAAACAAGAAGATAATGTAGCTTTTACTATTTTCAAACTATTTGTCACAGCTATAAGCTAAAAATTGTAAGCTATACCCTTTCTTTGCGGGCGACTTTTTTCTGCTCGATCTCTTCGAGAGCACGGGCACGTCGAGCTTCAAGGGCTTTGAGCTCTTGTTCCTTAAAAGGCCAGTCATTGGGGATACCTGGGTCCTTCTCTACTCTTGGCTTCCGGTTAAGCCCAAGCTTTTTAGCATCCTTTGCCTTCTTCTTATGGTGCTCCTTCACCTTCCTCAGAACCTTATGCTTCTGCTTCAAGGTCACCCTCTTACTCTTACTCTCTGCCAAAAAAAAACCATCAAATAATCAATAAAGATGAAGTAAAAGTCCTGAAAGGAATAATTGATTCAATTCATCGACTACGACAAATCCCAAACATAAATCTGAATGAAAGATTAATCTTACTTTTACTCCGTTTCACCATCTTTGTCGCCTTCGGATGAGAGCGAAGCAAAAAGAAAAACTAAGTAGGTTAGAAGAAAAGGGTTTATGGGGACGGAAGATGGAGATATCGGCGCCAAATTAGGGTTTTGCTATTAGATGGATTTGGATCATGACCCGACCCGGTCGAGTTAACCCGACTCTATCTTACATAACTAATAAACATAAAAATAAAAGATATGGGGTGAGAGAGGCTCGAACTCTCGACCTCCGGATTACTCTGATAGCTATGAGACCGACGCGCTAACCAACTGCGCCACCACCCCAACTTGTTCTACTCTTCAACAAAATGGTTTATAAACGATCATTTGAGTTCCTTGTCCAAAGTCATAACCTTCACTTTCTCGACCGGTCGCCTGAAAGTCTTGAGTTTTTTTTTGCTTAAGATCCTGCCGGGCTCCGGTGCTGCCGGTTAAACCCTTCAAAAACCTGACTTTTACTGATATTCGTTGAGCTTAGGATAGCAAGTGAACCCCACGATACAGAAATGTCTAAGAGAAGCCTCCATCTGAAGAAATTTTCATGGCTTTCTTCTCGGATTCTCTCAGGTTTCGGAAAATTGATCGTCTTCTCCCATTCTAGCTTTCTGGGTTTTCACTATTTTAGTGTTTCTAACGATGTTTTGGTTGTATTTTTACTTACCAGACAATGCTCATGGGCGATTTCACCGACCCAGTACTCCTCCGGCCATCTGTTTAGCTCCTTCATTGGATAGAGATTTGAACATTGGGTCCAAGACATTGGTCGAACAATGTCTTTCTCGCGGGTAATTCGATTTTTTAATGTTGACTGTAGGTTCTGAGCTCTCTTTCTAATTTGTACTGGGCAGTCTCTTTCAGATTTGCATCAGTGAGACGAGTATCTCGAGCTTCTTCTTCTTCCCCTTCTTCTCCATATGTTGATTTGCTCTCTTATATTAGAGCTTCACTTGATAAACTAGAAGGTAGCTGAGTGTTATACCGATTCTCATATCTTTTTAGTTTAATTGTCTTGATACATTTATTCGTGTTGTAAACAAAGTTTGTGAATGAACTCTTAGGTCCTTCCCATCATTGGTTGAACCGAGACATTGAGAACAAACAGCTTTTCAAGGATAAAGGAACTTATGTTGTTCTCGCTGGAAATTTGCTAAACGGAAGAACTGATCCAACTGAATTCTTTGAGAAACTAAAGTTGCTTCAGCAGAGGTTTATGAAAGCTTTTAACTCAAAACTCATGGCAACTTAACGGGAACTATGGCAAATAATCTTTTTTTGTGGTTTTTAAGGTCCCCAGGTGTCTGTTTCATGGGTATCCACTTCAGTGATCAAGCTCGAGTCACTGATGATCGAACTGCTTTAGCTGAGTTGATTGTGAATGAATACCTCACTTTTCCTGTATTACTTTCTGAAAAAGAATTTTCCAAGGTATATATTGTATCTCCAAGAAAATGTCGCTGTAGATTACATCTTTCTATATCATTTTTTCAAGTTGTGTGCAAATACCTCGATTTTAATTGAAGGTGTGATGTTTTTTACTTGTATCAGACAAGTGGGGAAGTACGTTACATCGTGTTTAAAGATTTTAAGAACCCTTTAATCTACGAAGAAAAAGATCTCGATATTGCTTCTGTAGCTAAAGGTATACCTACTTTATCATCTTATTGACTACACATATTTTCTACGATGTCATACTTATTGTTTCATGTTCACCTTTAGAGAGAAAAAGGAATTTCATTATGCTGATTTAGCTTGTGAGTCTTCCTGAGGATCTTGGAAGTCGAAAGCATATAATTATTCTTGTGATTAATGTGATACATATTCTGGTTTCTTCTTCTTGCGCTTTGCTGCAGCTCTTGACAGCCTCGCTCAAGATATTGAGAAATCCAAGTCTGTGAGGATTTTCACGAACACTTGGTCAAAACAAGCTGAAGCTATCAAGGAATCACATTTCTCTTCTTTCTTTCAAGATTTGTTACTTTACTATCCAGGTATATCTTGAATTTCTTTCCTTTTTGGGTCGTTTTTAGTTTTATCTTTCATACGCTACTCTCAAATATATTGTTCACGAAAAATTTGGAACAAAATTTTGATGCTATGCTATCTTCAACAATCATATTGTCTCTGTCTGACATTCTCTGTGACAGGTTGTATCTCTGCAGACGAAGTTGGAGACCGTCTGTTTCTTTCTGATACCAACCATCATCGTATAATTATGTTTGAAAACAATGGGAAGATTTCAGACAGTGTAAGTGAAAGAACGTGCATTTGGGGAATTATAATCTTTATAGAGTTTCTTTGCTCGATTCTCTTAAAAGGGCATTCTTAGAGAGAACGTGCATTTGAAGCTCCTTGTTTAAACTAAACTTTAAGACAATGTTTTTATTTCAGATTGGTTGCTTCCCCGGTTTTGAGGATGGAGAATTTGAATCTGCAAAGATGTTACGTCCTACAGGGACCCTTTATGACGAAGAGGAGGATTGCCTTTACATTGTAGATTCTGAGGTATGGCTCCAGAAGAAGATACACATTTATGATTACTGATTGTGCCATTGAATGTTTTCATGTTTAAGATTTTTTTTTCCTCTTTGTTTCCTTTCCTTTTCTTTTCCCCATTCTTTGAGTTAAGAATCACGCCATTAGAAGAGCAAATATAACTAGCCGGGTCCTGGAAACAGTATATCCAAAGGTTGTTAAGAAAAGTGGTGGCATGTGGTCTTGGATAATGGAGAAATTGGGTCTTGGAAAAGATGATGATACAACAGTTGATGCTGATGCCAAATTAGAAGAATTTGATGCTCGCTCACTCTTGTTTCCATGGCATATACTGAAGAAGCGTGATGATGAGAGTCTTTTAGTCAGTAACAAAAGGTAAAAAGACTAGTTAAAGGGATTGCTTCTTTATAGTACTAGTAGTGATCGCTCAGTCTCTCTTTCTTTCTTTTGCTACCCTTTTACGCTTGTGACCAAATAGGTTTCTCATATCTTTCAGTTTTTCAAAGTTATGGATGATTAATTTAGCTTCAGGAGAGATCGAAGAAGTCGTGGAAGGTTGCATACAAGAATCAGCATTTCTTTTTATCCGTTTTAGTTTGGCTTCCTGACTCATTGTATCTAAAAGATATTTCTATCAAATATAAGGGTTTTCGAAAATAATGGAGATCTGCGGGCAATCAATCACAGAGAAGCTATCAGTGTTGAAACATATTCCTTCTAACTGGGTGCAACAGCAAACTGAAACTATCACCTCATGCAAGGAACAGCCAAGTGCTTCCGTTTTTTCCTCTTTTACTAACCTTGGAGACAACATTTTCATGACAGATATAGGTAAACGACATATACGCAACTTTATTTACATATTTTTCATCTCTATGCATCAACTAACACATTTTGCCTTGTACGTTAAGCTTGTCAGCGGGTGTTGAAGGTAAATAGAGAATCTGGATCATGCTCTAGCATTCAGTTCTCAAACATTGGGATCCTTGGGTTACCCTATTGGTTGTTCATTCCGCTGGAGAGAGTTTTCAATCTGTTAGTGATTTCTTATTCATTATCTTATCCTTTAACAACACTTCTCTTGTTCTGAAACTTACTAACTGATGTCGTGTTGTTTTTGCTAAATTATAACCAGAGCTAATGGAGTTCAGGAAGCACATCTCAGTCATACTCAGGAACTCCGGTTATTGCCAGGTGTTATTTGCTAGACAGACCCTAATATTTTCTCATTCTCTTATAATAATAGTCTTGATGTTAGAAGTTCATCACCCCAATCCGAATTAGCTGCAGCATGAAGATGGTTTTAACATTGGTTCGAGCTGACAATCTAGATATCTGGTTTGATTCAACTACTACTTTTTCTTTTAACAGGTAATATTAGCATACGGTTGAACATAGAGATTCCTCCATGCACGGAGATTGTTGAGCCGATACAAGAAAGCTGTATATGGCGACAGACAAGAGGTGCAATCAGTGAAGTCTCGGCTACTGGAAGTGCAGTTGAACCTCCAGAAAAGGTTAATTAAGAGCATTGCATTCCTGATATCTGCTCTGAATTAAATCCGAGTTAGCTCAAAAAATTTGTTTTCATAACTTATAGATTGGAGTTTCACAACAATGGTATGATGAATTAGATAGCCTCGCCAAAGAAATAGCCAACCCCGAAGCAGATGAGGAAGAGGAAGAAGTAGATGTTAACCCTTCTGAGATTGAAAGGGAAGAAGACGGACGTATTCACATTAATTGTACTGTCAAAACAAGTCCTGGCACAAGTGAGGTACGCCTAAAACCTTCCCTCAAGTCTCCGTTATCAACAAAAGGCCAAAGTTTACTATATTAAGAAAAAAGAGTGGATAACTTTGTCGACTTGGGGTTGTGCAGCTTATTGTTTACGCAGCTTTGTATTTAAGACTGGCAAGAAACGAAGAGACAGAAAGTGCAAGCCAGGAAGAACTGGCGAGAAGAATAGCAGAGAATTTAAAGCCAGTACGGAACATAACGACAATGAAGGAAGAAATATTTGTGAAACTGTTGGCCAAGTCAAAGAGAGAACTGAGAGACATTGTCTTCTTGAAGCCAATGCATGTGCGGATAAGATTAGACTCGATGGATCATCCAAAAGCCGAGAACTCAAGAGACGTAATCTTGACTGACTCCTCTGTTGAGGTTGATGTCTCTCTTTGAACGCGGGCCAGTAAACTAGGCGTTGCTACATTCTTTTTCATACATACCAAAGGGCTACTCTAATTCTTTTTCAGGTGGTAGAAATGAGCTTTCTAGCTATATACGTTTATGACATTATAAAGAGAAACGATTTGCTCGGTTCATTATATAAAACGGTTCACAGTTTGTTTAAGATGGTCAAAATCTCTATGCTAGTGTTTCTTGTTCTTTTTAGTTAAAATTTTGAAAACATCAATGAAATTAGCAAATTTTGACTGCAATTAGTAAGGCACAAGAACTAAAAAAATAAAACAGCTGGTAAACTCTTTTCTGTTTCTTTTTAGACGGAACATCAATTTCAAACCAATATCCAAACTGATTTTTGAAATACTGTATGTGGATCAAAACAACCAAATGTTTTAGCTATTTATCATAACATATTATATTCCTAACAATTACTGGTTAGCTAGAAGGAACGTATTTATTTGTGCAATTTGTTAATATTTCCAACTTATTACATATATAAGTGTGCATTGATACATATGCTAACTGGATAATAAAGAATATTATATCATCGAAATGATTATCTCAATGGTATTAGCAAGAGCCTCATGTAGAAGATTATTGTTTGTTGACTTATTTTTGTAAACAAGATTAAGAGAAAGAGAAATCGTCATTACCTAGTCATAATCAGGTCTCGCTCCATGTAAGTAAGGCCTGTACTTTCTTCTGATTTCTTCATAATTTTTAAGTAGATTTTGAGAATAATAATAATAATGTTTACGATTTTGATGTTTTAAAATATATAGTTCGTGCAACCATCAACATTACATCTAACCCTTTTGTTGCAATTATTTTATCCACTTCATGGTCTCCATGTTATTAATTCTCTCTATTTCTTCTCATTATTTCCCATTTCTTCAAACCTTATAATAATATTAATCAATTTTGTAATCTGTTTAAATGCTCTCTAATACATATTCGGGGGAAGGTTTTATTCTTTAAATATAAATTTCACACCAAAAAACTTTAGGGAAATGTGAGGCACACAAACATGAGAACAATGATAACTGATAAGATATTGGAACCCATCTTGCATATTTTAATTATTATGATAAACAGTACTAGTTTAATTTGTCTATATTAAGAAAAAAATTCAGAAACCTAAACCTGAAAAAAAATAAAAATCCAGTTTTCTCCATCCAGGATTTTAGGAGACTCTTCCGCGCTTCGTATCCCGACGGTTTTTGGTGTGTTCATTTTTCTTGATCTGGGTTTTGTTACATCTTTGACGTAAAGGAATAACATCTCCACCTGAAAAAACCCTAAGGGTTTCTTGGGAAAGTGGACAACCATTGTTCTACGAAGGTTTCATTCAAAGGTTTGTTCTGCTTTTTCTCAACCAACCCACCTTTTTCTTGTTGATATTTTTCATCTGAAGTTGTTGCTTTTTTTTTTCTCTCCTTGTCAACGCAGGCCTTTGTTGAATTAAACGATTCGAACAAGATCCATTTATTAACAAGGACTCTGTTTTTGTACAAGTTTCTTTGGGAGTTTGAATTCAATTCTGCAGAATCGCTGCTGTTTCTGGAAGAAAAAAAAGTCTTGTTCATATAAATCTCTGATAACAAGAAAGAAAGAAAAAAAAAAAGAGAGAGAGAGATTGAAGTTTCCTTGAGATTTTGTTCTTTGCAAGGGAATAGAGAAGAAATGAATTGCTTTTCATGTTTCTATTTCCATGAAAAGAAAAAAACTCCGAAAGATTCAGACAACAACTGCCGGAGAAATGGTGAGTTGATGACCGGTAGAGACATCAATAAAACACACCCTGGTAAGTTCAGAATATCCATAATAACTTTTACATAGTCTTATATAGGTAAGACTATATTCAGTAATCTTTGTATTTTTGCGTACAGAGAATCCAAAGACTGGAAATGAGCAGAACAAGAACAATGATGAAAACAAAGAAGTGACAAACAACATCGCTGCTCAAACATTCACCTTCAGGGAGCTTGCTACTGCGACCAAGAATTTCAGACAAGAATGTCTCATCGGCGAAGGCGGTTTTGGAAGGGTTTACAAGGGAAAAATCGAGAAAACCGGCATGGTTTGTACTAATTTTAACATCTTCTTTCGAGTTTAGTTTTAACACTAGTCTATCTCTCTCATATGGTACATGATATAAGCATTCATGGTCTCTGCTTCTACGTTTCTATATAACAAGTCTCTTGATTAAGGATTTCTTAAAATGGTTTTTTGGATTCAGGTTGTGGCAGTGAAGCAATTAGATAGAAATGGACTTCAAGGGAACAAAGAGTTCATCGTAGAGGTCTTGATGTTAAGTTTGTTGCATCACAAGCATCTTGTGAATCTCATTGGCTATTGTGCTGATGGAGATCAGAGACTTCTCGTCTACGAGTACATGCCTCGTGGCTCTCTAGAAGATCATCTCCTTGGTAAAATTACGAAACTAAAGGATATGCATTGACTTGACTTTGCTATATTATCCTCACTCTTTTAATTGTTTCTTCAAAATGAATGCTTACAGAACTAACACCAGACCAAGTACCGTTGGACTGGGACACGAGGATTAGAATCGCTCTAGGAGCTGCCAAGGGTCTTGAATACCTGCATGACAAGGCAAATCCTCCGGTGATCTACAGAGATCTCAAGGCAGCTAATATCCTTCTAGACAGTGAATTCAACGCCAAGTTATCTGATTTCGGTCTGGCAAAGCTAGGTCCTGTCGGGGACAAACAACATGTGTCTTCTAGAGTTATGGGAACTTACGGATATTGTGCTCCAGAGTATCAGAGAACCGGTCAGTTAACTACTAAATCCGATGTTTATAGCTTCGGAGTTGTGTTGTTGGAGTTGATAACTGGAAGAAGAGTTATTGATACTACCAGACCCAAAGCAGAACAGAATCTAGTGACTTGGGTGAGTCTTTTTCTCTTTTAAAGATTTAGATGAATACCTCTTTGTCTTCATCAATTGCTTCACACTAAAAATGATGGTGTGGTTAGGCACAACCGGTGTTCAAAGAACCGAGTAGATTCCCAGAGTTAGCGGATCCGAGTCTGGAGGGAGTGTTCCCGGAGAAAGCTCTGAACCAGGCAGTGGCAGTGGCAGCAATGTGTTTACAAGAAGAGGCAACGGTACGGCCACTCATGAGCGACGTGGTAACCGCTCTCGGTTTCTTAGGAACCGCTCCTGACGGCTCTCTCTCTGTTCCACACTACGATGATATTCCTCCTCAGCCGTCAGATGAGACGTCCGCTGAGGATCCAGCAGCGGCGGAAGAACGGGAAAGAGCCGTGGCTGAGGCTATGGAGTGGGGAGTTGCTTCAAGAGCACATTCCCGGAACCCAAGTGCTTCTTGATTTTCAATGTTTTACACCTTTTTTTTTGTCTTCTTCTTGATTTTAATTTTGGGTTTGGTTGTTTTTCTTCTTATTTTGTTGGCTTTTCAATTCCAGTTTCAGAAAAGATAGTGATAGAAATTGTTACCCTTTCTTTCTTCGTTATATTCTGTTTTATTTGAATCTGTATATTCCATTCCAGCTGAGTTTGCATACAGAGCTCGAGAATTCTTATTCTTTGTTTCAAGTTTCACAAAATTTTCGGGTTCTCTCGTGTTTAGTCAAAACGATTCATAATTATAGCTTTGGTGTCCACGAATGAGCTTAAATAGCAACACAAAGTAAAAAAAAAAAAAAAAAACCAATCCATATAAAACAAAAATCCAAAGAACATATAAAGAAAAACCCTGTAAACGAAAAAGAAAAAACAAAGACGTGTAACGCAAGAGAGTAAAGCAACGCTAGCTACATCATCATCACCATAGGCTACGAACCATAGCGGTGGAGCCAGAACCGCTAGGTCTGCTACCCCAACCTCTAGGTGTAAATGGGTTGCAACTTGGTACTGATCTCCTCCGGCTTGTTCCTTCTTTTTGGCTATTTCGCCTCCAGTACTCAACAAACTTAGCCTTCCAATCAACAATATCATCTATTAGTTCCGCTTCTTCGGTCACAAAATCAGCAAACTCTTCCAAGCACTTTTGCTTCCACACGTCATTGTCTGAAGCCAGGTTCTGGAACTCTGAGCAAACGCAAGAAACCCTAGCGATATCCACGCCAGGAAGTGACTCTAGTACCTTCATCTTTAGCTCTGTTGGTATATAAACCAAGTTTCGTGGAGCTAGGATTCGTTGTATCATGTCTAGAGCCTGTTGAAGACTGGTCCAATCATTAACCAGAGCCATGTTTTGACGAGGAAGCATGGTCGAGATTGAGATTGTATTGAGACTTTGACGTAACGAAGACTAAGCGAAACTACCACAAGTCCTGATAAAACCTGAAATCCAAATAGTAGAAAACAAACGCAACAAGGAAGCACCTTTTTATAACAAAAAGTCAGACCTAATAAGAGGCTTTTCAACATAATTCGGTCAGTAATGGGCCTATAAAAAGCCCATATTGAAGCTCAAACATCAACCAAATCTCTCTCTCTTCTCTTCTCTTCTCTCTCGCTCTCTCCTTGGCGCTGTTTCTCTGATTTCACCAGAATTTTTTGTTGTTGTTTCGTTTGGTAAATAAGTATCTGATTTTGCTTTTGAATCGCCATTGATTGAACCGTTTGACTCCGATCTCATTATCTGTCGGTGTGAAGGTACTAATAATCTTCTCACCAAGCGTCCTGTTTCTCGATCATTTGCGTAGGCTAGGTCGTTCTCGTTTTGAGCTTTTTGTTATCTCTGGGAAATTAGACGGTGCAAGAGATCTTAGAATCATGGGTATTGAAGCATTGGCGGTTTTAATGCAACATTGATCTCAATCGGTGAGCTCAAGTTCTGTTTTTTTTAGATATTCTTTCCAAAATTGGAATTTGAAGAGATGTCAAGTAAAGCTTGGAGATGGGTATTGGGGTTGATATACCTACTTGCCGTTGCCACAATTTGGATTGCAGCCAGTTTTGTAGTCCAGTCTGTGGTGGATGCTGGTGTTTCTCCCTTCTTGATCACTTTCATTTGTAATTCATTGTTCGTTGTTTATCTCCCCCTTTTTGAGATCGGTCGATATCTTGAAGATGCATATGGGAGTTTATTGTTTTGGAGAAACAAAAGGTCGCATTTAATGGAACTGGTCGAATCAGAGACGGCTGTTTTGCTTGGACAAGATGTTCCAGGTGTGAAATCAGATGCATCTGAGAGTCCAGGGCTTGTCGTGAGAGAGGAAGGGGTTAGTGAGGTTGGTGGTGATGGAATTGAATCTGCATTGGAAAATATACAGCTTGAGATTGATGCTAGTGTCAGTGTTAGTGGTGAAGCCGGTGTCATCTGTAGCAAGGGGTTAGATGAGAAGGGACGTTGGACACGGATGCGAGTTGCTAAAGTTAGCCTTATGATTTGTCCGTTTTGGTTTTTGGCACAGCTTACTTTTAATGTCTCTCTCAAGTACACAACAGTTACGGTAAGAACATATTGCAAACCCCATTTAAGATGGGCCATTTGTTGCTCATTCTGAATCTACTTTTATGCCTTCGCTCAAGTTTTTTTTTTTAATTCATTTTTGTGAATTGCAGTCAAATACCATCTTAAGCAGTGCGTCAAGCCTTTTCACCTTTCTTGTGTCACTAATGTTCTTAGGCGAGAAGTTCACATGGTTGAAACTCTTCAGTGTTCTTCTTTGTATGTCTGGGACCATAATTGTAAGTATGGGTGACTCAGAATCCAACTCTAGTGCAACAGCTAAAAACCCTCTTTTGGGAGATATTCTTTCACTGATCTCAGCGGCGCTATATGCTGTCTACATCACTCTTATACGCAAAAAGCTTCCTGATGATGATGAAAGAAACGGTCGGGTCAGTATGGCTCAGTTCCTTGGGTTTCTGGGTCTCTTCAATTTCTTCATTTTCCTTCCTCCTGCTCTAATCCTCAACTTCACAAAGCGAGAACGCTTCAATACACTAACCTTGAAACAATTTGGTCTAGTTGTTGGCAAAGGTATGCAAACCCCATACCATATTTTAGCTATCTATTTTCCCTTGAAGCTATGGTCAATAAATCTCTGTAATTCATACAACAACTGGATCTGATGCGCAAGTAGTAAATTAGGATTTGATGTTGGGATGCTGATTTGAACGACTTGATGCGTGTTTTGGAATTTCAGGTTTGTTAGATAATGTGCTTAGTGACTACCTATGGGCAAAAGCAGTACTACTGACAACGACCACAGTGGCAACAGCTGGGCTAACCATTCAGGTTCCATTGGCAGCTATTGTAGACAGCTTATCAGGGAACAAGCCAAGCTTCACAGACTACATTGGTGCTGCAGCTGTAATGGTTGGCTTTGCAGGAATCAATATTCCTTCAGAGATGTTTTGCAGGTCCAAAGAGACTGCTATTGAGTTGGAACCCGGGACGTCGTTCACAGATCCTCCTCAGATTGTTACGGATAGCGTTAGAGTAGATTCTTCAGAGATTGTAGTGTCTTAGTTTTTCCAAATTCAATAGCCACTATTATTTTTATCTTTTTTTCTCTCTTGTTTTCCACTTTTACACCTTTTTTGGTGGTGATTACTGTTTACTATGTAAATCATCGAGCATGATATACGAGAAATATAGGTGGGAAAATAGTAATAAATCGTTCAAGATTCTGACTCAATTTCAATACAATAAAAATAAACTGTTTCATCTCTGTTATTTGACTAAGCAGTTACATTAAGATGTCCGTATTTTTGCATAACTCTTTTTGTCGCCATAGCAGCTGCTTCACTTGCACGTAGTGTGCCTTGTGCCATCAAAGCTGCAAATTCACGAGTAATCTCTTCTTGAATCTTGGTCCTAGCATCACCCAACGGGTCCCCTTTCACCTTCTCTTCACTAGCTGACGGTGGAACAACAGGTGGCACTTTTTCAGTTGCAGCCGAGGTATTTGCTTCCTCAGGCTTAGAAGCTTTCTCAAATTTTGGACCTTCATCTTTAGTAAAAGCTCCAAAAGGCTGTGGCTGTGGCTGTGGCCTAAACTGTGGAACTTGAGGAACAGCACCTGCTTTCAGAGTTGTTTCGAGGCCTTGTAACATAGGCACTGCAAAAAGGGGAGATGGAAGTTAGATCAGTTAGAGAGCTGGGAAACCGGGACCAAGTAAGGTGGCACGAGTTTACAGAGACTTACTTATAAGACCACCCATGGGGCTGTTAAGAACGTCATTGGGAAGCTGAAGAATGTAGTCTGGAATCCCTTTACCCACCAAAAACTGAGAGAGCTCGTTGCTGAAGTTGTTGCAGTTGTGAGTAAGTAAATTGTAAGATTCAGCGGTGTAACGAGGACTGATTTCTTCCAAATACATCTCAAAAACGTCTTTAGGAACATGTGATAGACCCAACTCTATAGTTCGAATTGGTGCTCCATATGGAGTTCTTCCAACAGGGAGATGCTGTATTCCTCCTCCAAAAAAGTACTCATTTCCATAAACAACTATTCCTGTATGCCTGGGATAAGAGAAACAGCAACATTGAGGAGGATAAAAGAAACCATACTCCATTGCAGAAGCTTGGATACATTCAAACTACTCTTGGATTCTTAACTCATACAATACAACATGCCAAGATATCTAAACTGGGTTAATTGCAACCACTTTCAACAGTTAGATACTAAACCTATGGAGTAGAAGCAGTACAACCCAAGAAAAAATTCAAAGCTTTGATGAAATCTGGCCTAGATAAGATAATGAATTCACACTCAAAACCAATTGAAAACAATGAGCAAACATGTGCCAGAGATTACTCACCATACACCTTCGATAACCTTTCCCAAAAGTGACTGCGAGAGCTGGCGTGCTAAGCCTTGGCTTAGATCATAGACATTCAACGTAACCTTGTGCGCTTCCTGCCATATCACAGATTTTAATCAAACTAAACAACATAATTAACTCCACAAACCATATATATAAAAAATAAGTCATATCATACCTCAGCCATTTTTCGAGTACAAAACTCTTAAAATCCTTGGAACAAGATAACTACCTGTAAATTCAAAACAAAAATAAGCTTCACAATCGAATAGATCTACGACCTGAGCTACCAGAATGATTCCGAACAAAATAAGTTTCCGCAAATAAGAATTCCAAAACTTGAAGAACAAATCAAGAAACGATTCCGTAGAAAACAATAAAAGCATCTAGCATCCGCAAATAGAATATCCAAATCTAGGAATAATCAAATCTAGAAACCACGATGCCTAAATCGGGAACACATAAAATTGGTCAAAAAAACTGATTGCGATAAACGAGGGAGATGATCACGTACGAAACAAAATCGCTGTATGTATGCAAGGTCGGAACAAATTGCCGATATGCGCAAATCTGAAAGCTTTCTTGGATAGCAATGGTTCAGAGGAAGGTTTATAAAGGCAAAGCGATTTGGGAAATTCGAAGATTCTTCCACGACGTCGTATTAGCCAACGACGACAGTCTTTATTCTGTAACCTTCTAGAATGACCCACCCAATGACATATTGACACGTCTTTTTGTCCTACTTTAACCGTCCCGGTTCAACCGACCGACCAAAATCGCTTTTTTCCCGCATTTATTATAAGTCTAGTTGCTTTCCCGCAAAGCCAAAGATAAGTATTCGGTCAAAGTTCATACATATAACAAAATGCTATCTATTACCCTTATTAATCACATACACGTTTCAATGAAAGGTTTTCACACCAATCATAACAATATTTTAATTTTTAACAGAAGCCATCTTCTTGGTAATAACCCTATTTAAGCCAGATTCATGAACTGATACCTCCCACAAAATAAAATCTACCACAGACGCACAACAACAAGAAAAAAAAGAAAAAAAAAAGATTGAAAAACGACTAATCTTACGGACAAAAAAAAACCATTCTGGTTAGGCAAATAAAAGCCTAGACTTGAGAAAAAGGTCTCTATATAGAAAACAAATGAAGATAAATCCAAAGTTGCGCTTCTTTTTCCAAAACACATTATGGCTCAAGGAAGCTGGCTGTCATGTTCCTGCTTCAGTTGAAGATTTTGAGCTCAAGACTTCTTTAATGGTTACAAAAAGGTGCGTCCTGGCACACGACTTGTCTGAAATTAAAACCGCTTCATAAGATCCTTCGAACATGATTCGGCATGTATTAGACGTGTTACAGTATGGAATGAAAGTTTGTTTCCTTACCACTCTGAGCTACCTTAGTTTTGTTGAATTTGGCGGTGAAGTTGCAATATCCAATCAACATAACCACTCGAACCGCCCATCTGGTCCTCAATGAGATTTCTAAGGAGAAAAAAGCCTTCTCGGGGTTGTTCTCCTTGTCTCACTAGAAAACACATGGGGTGATATGAAGGATCATTCTCCCTCAGTTTCTTTACCAAACTCATTAGCTTCTTTGACATCCCATTCCCTTGCTCTTGAAAGGTAACCTAAGAGACCCCACACAAAAGTAAGACACGGGTTTCACATAGAATGTGATGTTTTAGAAATATAAAAAGCAAGGAACAAGCATCGTGACAAATACTAGTGATGCACATATAATCACTGTATGTAATCCCTCTTCATCTATTAATATGTAAAGGTTGCATGTGGATAATAATACATACCCTTGAGAGCTCTGCTGCAAAGTCATCCCCAAGAAGATTTTTCGCAATGTCAGGTGAAAGCATCCGGCCAAACCACAAAACTAACCGAAAACCATCATCATAAATGTAAAGGCCTCTAGAATCCAAACACTCTGCAGCCAGAGGCAACCTCTTTAATACGTCCTTCAAGTCATCGTGGTCTGCTGATGGCTGCAAACATGTGAATTCATAAATCGTTTACGTCTTGAAAACTAATGTTTGATAATGGACACTGAGATAGAGATAAGAACCTTTAAGAGCCATTCGTCAACACGAAATAAATTGGGATACAAAAGCTTCAATAGCTTTTTGACAGGCAGAGCCATCATGGTGAAGCCTGCCGCACAGCGCTCATCAAGAGAAGCATCAGCAGGGCCACCTTGAAGAGGAGTGGACTTAATAATTGCCAATCCGTACAATGGCAAGAACTTCAGAGACTCCGGATATATTAATCTGGATCCCAACCGATGCTGCACCGCGTGAAGATTACGATATTCTTTGAGGGCTTTAACAATCTTTTGCTGTATTGCATTCCGCGCATCATCCAATTTTGCAGACAAAGATTTCTCAATTGCTGCAGAATTTAATTAGTCATTAAATAGTATCAAAAATAACATATGATATATCAGAAAAAAAAAAAAAAACTTGAATGTAGCCTACCTAATCTAGCATATAAAGAGACAATGGCACCAGTGTCTGCTTGTCTATACATCTCCCCAAGATCTGTAACCACTGGTGCAACAGATGTGTGTACCCTTATACGTCTCTCTCCGCAAGAAGCAGTATATCTTAGTTCTGTTAAGGATTACTAAAAGGCACATGATGCGTTGTACCAGCTGAAAAATTAATTTTTTACTCAAGTATGATTAAAATATCAACTATTCAAGGATACAGCAAAGCGACTTGGAAGTACACAGTTTGGGTTGTTAGCAGTGTCTCTTCCAGAGATAGCTGCATTGCATACGCCTTGTCACAGTCAACGGCAGGAAGAGCCAGCAGGTCAGTAGACCTTAGCATGAAGTTCCCATGGTAGGACGAGAAACGGATTCCTGCATGGAAAAATATATAAGATCACATGTAGCAGACCACTGTATTTAGCAACGATTGACATAGTAGGTAGCAAAATAAATATTCCATAATAAACTATTAAACCTTTTCCACATCTTATACGCATAACTGCCTCCCAAGCAGTTTCCCTTGTAAGGTCTCTAGCCAGCTCGTGTCTTAACTTATCTCCATGAACAGATGATTGGAAACCTGGATAATAGTACACCTGCCCTCCAGTGTATTTTGCTAGAGTCCCTACAGAAACCAAATAATTATAGTAACATGCTTATCTTTTAGAACAGCAATATTCAAGGAGGGAGAAAGCACCGCTAACTATCACCCATCACTCCAAACACCTGAATTAAACATCAACTGATAAGTGATAACCATAACGTTCACATACCTAAGGAGGCAATATCAGTGTACTTATCACTGAATGCATAAACATTAATCCCTATCTGGAACTTGGTACAATCAGCAGCCATTTGCTTATAGAAGGGGTCTTCAGCTAGCCTTAATGCATATTCTTTGTCAGTTCCATAGACACGAGGATCATCTCCCCGCAACTTTAGCCGCCCAGCACCAAGAGAAGGTAATGAGTTCTGGAAAATTAGCAACTTGCCCCCAAGTTGGTTCTGGAATAGATAGAGAAACAGAGTCAACACTCAACAGACTGATCCAAATTTCAGATAATGATCCAGATAGGACGCTTAAGAATCAAATGACTTAAGTGATAATTATGTTCACATGGCAGTATAGTAACTAACCATAACCATAAATGCCGCTCTGAGAGCCGGACCAAAAGCTGATTCCACATTGACATTATCTTGAAACATCAAAGGTAGACTGTCCAAAAAGGCTTCCACGACAGTTCTAGATTCAGATAGATTGACAAGGAGATCATCTGGCAATGGGACAAATATATCATCCAGATCTGATACAACCATCATCTGCGGCTGGCTCAAAGATGACTGCATTGCCAAGGTCCACAAAATAAATGATGGAAGCTAAGAATTTCAAAACAAAAGTTTCCTTGTATTCATAATTCTCTTACCTTCATGTTGTAAAAATGTAAAGTGCTGTCATAAGTAATAAATCCAATTTGAGTTCTAGGATAACCAGGCAGGTTATCCAAACAAGACTTAATTGTCTCAGCAACAACCTGCGAAAGGAACAGAATTGTCAGAGTATAATCTACATTCAGGAAAGCTTCCATCTAAAAGAGAGAGCATCTAGGCTAGACAAAGAAACAGGAGAGGTCTAGACGTATAAAATCACACACAAATTATCTTTTTACTAACTATGGAACAATAACGTTGATGTTCAGCAAAATTATAAAGTGGAAAAACTGTTTCCAAATCGATCATGCTTACCTCAAGCATCCCACTTTTAGTAGCTGAAATTGAAACATCAATGAGGAAGAAGTAGATAGGTGGCATCGGAGGCCGAACCATGTATTCAGTTGGAGCTATGATTTCAACACTTCCCTTTGTCAGCTCAGGTCGTTGATCCATATCCATTCTTCGGCCACTAGCATCCAAATGTGAGAAGTATTCACCAGGCACTGAACAAGAAATTTAACTCATAACTATGAATAATCATCTTATAAGCATATGGCTGAGAGTATAGAAGAAATAGCACCAACGAACAAATGATTAAAAGAAAGAGAAAAGAGGACATTCCATTATGTTTATTCATAACACCAAGAACAGTTCCTTGTAGCTTTCACCAGATTCATTTACTATAATTCTACTAAGAATAGTGATCAAATAGCCGTTCGCTATCAAGAAAAACCAGAGAAAAAACACAACAGATAACTTCAGCACAAACAGATTAGACAGAACAAAAAAACTTTTTCAGAAACATCAAAGAGAAAGAAAGTGCAACACCATTTACAAGGAATTTTCAACCAGAAACTATGTTCTATAGCACCTTTGTCCACCAAATCAATCCTTGAAATTGGGAAAATTACCATCATTAAGCATAGCACAGATATTACACCGCCACTTTCTTCCAGAATCTGTAAAAGTCACATAAGGATTCACATAGGTACGGCACCTTCTGCAGCGGATGATGCCAGTTGAGCCAAAATCAATAAGTGGTACTTCCTCCTGAGCAGATAAATGAAAATTTGCAACAAAAAAAAAAACAGGCGAAGTTATATGTTGCACAGTAAAAGAGTTCCACATAATAAAAACAAGAAAAAATCTAGATGACATTCTTATTAACAATAAAGAAACTAACCCCTTCAGGAGTCTCTGCAAGTGGACAAACCACTGCTCCTAGAGGTAAATGCCACCTCGAAGCCAGAGACTGGGAATTCGGTATAGCACTAGTCGTCAGTCGAAGATATCTAGAATGGCAATTCATAGGGTACATTTCAGCAAATGAATTTGGCTCCACGTCACCATCCAATGGCCTTGGGAATGATTTATGATCAAGTCCTGGCTCTATCGATCCAGGAATAGATGAAAGAGATAGCGAGTTGAAATCTTCAACCAAGCCTTGAACGTTACTGGAAGGAGGTGCATAGCTTGGATGCAGATTCTGCTGTGCTGGCATATTTGGGCGCTGAGCAAAACCTCCTGTCTGAGGAGGATACGATGAGACTGGCGGGGGTCCTGGAGGACCCTGAGATGTCTGGAATGGCATCGGAGGAGCCTGTAAGACCTGCTTGCTTGGATAACCAGGAAAAGATGGCTGTGAACCTCCCACACCAGGATAAG